TTTGAGGTGAGCGAACAACAACAGTACCACCAGCTGATTACTGTCAAGGGAAATAAACATTGTGGCATATTTTTGAAAAGTGACTTCAGATGCTGAAGAACTTTCCAACACAGATAAATTACATTTTCGGTCCCAGAAGGCATCTGCAGATTGCTGCCACCAGCCACTGAAGACAGTATGTTGAACTGGGCACCAAGATAGGAGTGTGCCTACCAACACATGTCTAGCATACCGTTGACAGCATCATCTGAATTGTAGTTATGGATTGCCATAAGAGGTCATACAAGCTGCAGGCTGCCAAGTTGCCACCAGCAGCAACTGTAACTGAATAAAAAAAGAATTAAATGAAAAAAATATAAAATGTAACTGATAATACTAACACTAGAATTATGAAAAATATACTTTATTTTTTCTCATTTACAAATGATAATGTTTTTGCTCTTATTTACACTGCATCTACATATCTTAAATGACACATGATAAGTGAATCATAGAAAGCTGTAGCTTCTACCTAATATGATGAATGTTACAAAAGTTTTAACTATATAATTTGGTATCTGTTTATATTTCTGAGATGAGGTATTATAACTATTTACACTATTTACATTGTTTGAACTGTTGTCCACATTTTTATTGTCATATTCATAATGTTTTGCCATTGTACACACAAATAAGCAAATAAAAGCATTGGTTGAAGTAATCCAGTGACTTGACCCAAAGAGTTGTGAGTTCAATACCAGACCAGAGCAGAGCTGAGTTACTCAAGGAGAATAACTGCAACAGAGATATCCAGAAAAGCCTTGGCATATGGAACAAGAACAGTCAACCCCGGTGGACGAAATAAAAAGTTTGGTTCGAAATTCCAATATATATCACCTGAAGAAGGCTGGAGTGCACAATGGCCGAAACGTTGTGAATATGATAATAAAATTGAGTACAACAGTCTGAACAATGTAAATAGTGTAAATATTTAATTTGGAAAAGTAAAGTATACATCTAAAAAAAATTTTCTGGTCCTAAATATATGATTCACCTTTTAAATTGAAAAATATTTCTTTATCCTATTGAATAAATTATAACAAATTTCCAAATTCTTAATAAATCTGATCTTTAGCTCATCTGGCGTAATTAATGATAATTATTTACATTGTTCGGACTATTGTCCTCAACTTTGTTGCCATATTTATCACAACATTTTGGTTGTTGTACACTCAGGCTTCTTCAGGTGGTTGGAAGGTTGAACTTAACTCTTTATTTCGCTCACTGGGGTAAACTGTTCTAGTTCCACTTGCCATATTTAATGGATGTCAGTTATCAGTTATCTCCTGTTAATTTCCTTCTGAAAGTTCTCCACTGCCTTAACCAGGTATTGAACTCACACTCTTTGGGTCCTATCACTGAATCTAACCAATACCTTTATCCACTGTGCCATGTGTTGGCATGTAAATTAATTTCTGACGACTAGATAAAAATTTATTTTTAATGCCAAGACATAATCAAACAATTTTCAGTTAAAAATTTGGTGCTTAAGTATTAAATACTGAATTATAACTGAATTATATATATATATATATATATATATATATATATATATATAAGTATCACCCCATGCAAGGCAGTAAAGCCACTAAGACACAAGTGATTACAGGATGTGGAAGGATTAGGATCAGAGTCATTAATAATGAGCCTAAAGAGGAAAAACTAATCAGGAGGTCCGTAGATAGTGATTGACATTGCATTTAAATTTTGCAGATTAAAGTTGGCTAGAAAGTATGGAGCCAGAAGGAAGTTCCACAAGTGAGAAGTGTGGGATAGAATTTATGGTTACATCTCGCCAGCTCAACTGTAAATTGCTGAGATCTCGATGCCAGTCTAATATTGTGCTTAAATTAAAAAAAGTCTAGGTACCATAGCAAAGAGCTCATCCAAACAATTACCATGAAAGTATTTATAGAAAAGCCACAGTGAGGCAACTTTATAGTGGTGGAAAAATGACTGAAGCCAAACGACCAGATCAGGACCAATAATATTGCTGATTCTTATATATTTTATTTGTTGTCTCATTTCAATAGCAATACAAAATGTTAGCTCTGGATATAAAAGCCGTGACTGACAATAAATATAGTGGTTATTCATCCAAACTGTTGAGTATAGGATCATAGCCTCATCACACTTGGTATTATAGGATTTTATAGGATGAAGTTGACAGCCCCATTCCTAATGAGTTTTGAATTCAGAGTTGTCCTTCTACTGGTCTAATTGCCAACTGAAGATACAGATCCCAGCCTGAGCTGCTATTTAACTCTTATTTTTGAGGAGAAAAGATGGATTCATACATTTCCAAGTATGTTTGTGTGAAAGTTAATGCAACACCCTTGGCTGCAATTTGAACTCTGCATACCAATCTTACTTTCTGTGCAGATAACCGCTGCATTATACACACAGCGAAAGCTCATGGGTTAGGTTGGTAAATATTAATCTGATGCAAAACTTTCCAACATTTTATGACATCTTTTATTCAATAAATTCATGATTCATATTTCAAAGTATTCTTTCTGAATTTCTATGACTTTATGCCATGCCGCACAATATCAGCTTTGATTCTGTGAATTCTTTGAGAAAGTTTCCTTATTTTGAGTTTGTTTTAACCTGGTACATGTCATTTAGTCTACCAACTGGTGTGTCTACTTATATTTATATCTTGGTCAGCCTATTAACTTTTCAGCTGACCCTAATATATTAATTAAAAAGTGATAGTCAGCAGGCTCTACATAGAAGAATTTTCAATCCCAGCTCTATGGCTATTTGTTATATTACTTTTGCAACAAAAGAATGAACATTGTCATTCAACAAAATCACCTGTTAATCATACAAAGATTCTTTTATGTTTAATTCATCATTCAAATAAGCCAAATGCTTATCTGTCTTTGGTGCAATACCTGTGTGTCCAAGTTCTGGCAATTTATAATAAAGAAATCCCTTTGAATCCTACCAAATACAAAGAACTTTACCTAAGTTCCATTAAGCTGAGAAATTCATGGCTCTCCTGGAAGTACTTGCAGTTTTCTTCATTTCGAATTCTTGTAATGAATCCATATTTAATTACTAATGATTAACTTGACCCAAAATAACTTCTTTTTGTTTTAAGTAAAAGATAAAGACATTTATTTAAACACAGATAAAAGTTTGTATGAAATCTGCTTTCTTTGCTGTTTGTATTTTTCTTAAGTATATATTACAATTGTCTGTATCCACAATAAAAAGCTGAGTAAAGATCAAATACACTTTTAAGATTTCCCTAATATAATACAAAATATAGAATTAGGAACTTTTGTATCAACCCAATATCAGATGAAGACTCTTCATTCTTTTATTCTAATAATCTGGATGAGTCTCTTCTAACATTTCAAGTGTCATGTACTTTATCTTCCTTCACATCAATCTGGCAATCTCTTGAGTTTCATCCTATGTATTTGTGCAATTCACTACTTCATCAATAGAGGCAATTTACAAAGGCTTTGGCATTTAGATCTGGTAATTCTTAAAATGTGCTGACAAATTACTATAACAAAAAGGTATGATAACTCTTAAGGATTGCCAAATGCAACCAACATCTAATGAAGGTGGAAGAACATATCAGCCAAAATATTGTGATAAAAGACTGTTGTAATGTTACTATTACTTAGCTGAGTTCAGTCACTTTTAGAATAAGTCCTCCTGCAGATTACTGCTGTATTTTCTCAGACGATGGCTAAATATAGCTTTGCAGTCTCTCCTAGTCCTAAGTTTCGTTCTTGCATTTATACATGTGTGGGCGAATCCACTTCATCACTTGGAGTATAACAAAGATGAAAATGCTTTTTTTTATTTTTATACTAATTTTCACACAATACAAGATTCAAGAGACATTCAAGGTAGAGGGTTACTGTGTAGTGTTGTATGAGTGTAAGAGTATAAATACACAGTTGTACTTTTGTTCTCTCTCCTTAATAATATTTTTTTCATATTCTCTCACACTCTCACACCCCCTTGTGTCTTAGTGACTTTATTTCCTTGCTTGTGGTGAAATGATTAAAAGAAAAAAGAAAAGAGGAGGCAAGAATTGCAGTTCATGAGGTTATGTAGGAAAGATAACAGATTAACCCTAGACTTGAAGAGGTGAAGATTGTTGTGATTGGGAAAACGTCCTGTTAGGAACCTGTTCCACAAAGTAGCAGTTCTTTGAAAAAAGCTGTCTGAGTAGAACTTACTTCTTATTAATGAAATGAGGATAATTGTGTACATGGCATGGCAGGTGCAAAGGTCAGGGCTGGTAGAACCAAAGAATACAAAACACTTGTTTTGGAAATAGGGATAGAATAGCAAAAGGCTTGTGATATTTTGTAGTGGTGTGGAAAATCATCATACACAAGGCCGTGTAGACATTTTTGAACTCTATCAAGGATAGGCAAGTTAAGAATGGACAGCACCAGTCCAGACTGGTCTGAAGCATGTGCAGAGTCATGTCTAAAAACCACCAAATGCAATATACAACTGAGGAAGGTGGAAGAACATATCAGTTAAAATGTTCATTTATTATACATCACTAGTCTTTGACAGGGATGTGTACATAGCCCAATGGTTATCCACATAGAAAGTAGAATTGGTGAACTGAGTTCAAATTCCAGCCATGTCTGTTGTACTCGCTTTGCACTGATACTTTTGAAAAAAAAATAGGCATTGATTTATTTCTTCTCTCGACTACATACATGAAAAATAACACTTTAGCCTTGGATGGCAGCCAGTCTAGGAGAAGGACAAGTCTGAATTCAAAACCATGGAGAAGTCAGTGGGAAACCACTCTACTCAAGAAATTTTGATGATTCACAGATAATAAGGAAAAAACATCTCAGGTGAATAATGATTACCTATGCTTTGATAGGCCTAATAATCATTGTTTTGTTTCTTTTGTTTTGAAAGATGTACCTTGGTGTATTTCACATTTTAATTTAAAGTTTTACAGCCAAATCATGTTGAAACATTGATTCCCATACAACCATCATAGTTAAGCAATATTGAGCCTGGTCAGTACTTAGATGGATAACTGCTTGGGAATACCAGGTGCTGTAAGCTTGAATGTGCAGGTGGTGTAATGGATAATGGCTTGGAATTGTTAATCAAAGAGCTGAGTTCTAATTCCTGTTGGTTAATTATATTCACACAAATATCCTTGGTAAAGATAATAAATCTACCTCTTCTCCCCCCAGCTGTTGGTTAATTAATAAGACTTGTATCACTAAAATATAATTACCTAAGAAAAAAAAAATTCTTACAATCTAAAATACCTTGTGGCTTTAAATAACCTGCAAAGGGTTGATAAGTCATAGAAAACAAATCAATCAATCAATTTAAATTAAAATTCTCTTGGTTTAACTAAATGGAGAGAAAAATACAGAAATAGATTTTGACACCATATCAGGATACACATTGTCCATTTTAAGTTTCATGGCAGAGTTCTTTATCACAAAAACAACCTTGTTCATCAGTTACTGCTGCAAGAAAATTACAAAAATATACTTGGTTCTAAATGACCGATACAATTTTGTTTGTTCAGAAAAAAAAAAAAATACAAGTATTTTTTCATTCTTGGCCTTAAGTAGAAGTTACCATCAACATTAGTTAACAGTCATAAACCTTCTATATTGTTTTTGACAGTATTACACTTTAGGCAGAGCCATTATAATTTCTCTCTACCTCATATTTTGACAGATTTAAAATCAAGTTGACTAATGCATTTCCATTATTGCTTCCAGACATGTAAGATTTAAGAACAACAATTGAAGCATTTGCTTTTATTCTCAACTTCTCTTTTGTTATATTTTCTTCCTCACTCAGGACTTTGATCTCCTTTTTGTCTCTCACTCTCTCTCTCTCTCATGTGTTTCCATTTAGCTTTGAGTCTTTAAATAGTTGAATTTTAAGGTTATAAATGTTCTCAATCAACTGACTGTTTAATGCACTTACTGCTCCAACCTGTTAGCCATTTTAGGAACACAAAAGATTTCCTTGTAAGCAATTATATTTAGTAATATTTGTGCCTTTGGTGAAGTGATATTAGTAAACATATAATGAGATATTTACTTTGACGTCTAGCAGACATACCAAGGGAGAAGACAACAATACTGTGTGATATTAATCATGGAAGTTGTGAGAATATGCTTGCTTTAAAAATCAGCATTCAAAATCCAGTTTATTTTTTTTTATTTTTTTTACTTGCCTTTAGACACTGATCATTGGCACCAGTGGGACATACACAGCATCCACATCAGTGTAGGGGTTGGGAGGTACTGGAGGTGGTGCCAGCTCTCCTTCTAACACACATTTTGCTGGAATCAAAAACAAAACAGAATTTTAAATTTATCTTCTTGGTCTCAATATATGACTGTGCTACTGAGAGATGATTTGAATATTTTTTTTTACAATGATATTCACACTGTACAATGTCCAAGAGCCACTTGAGGTGGAGGGTTATATAAGGAAAAGGAAAATCATTACTATTAATTTTCAAAATAAATCATAAAAATTCATTTTCCTTTTTTTTTAAACATTAGCTTCTAAAACTTTTATGTTAATCTTATATGCAGAAAATGTCAATAGCTCGATTCCAGAAAATAAGTACCAATAAACAGCAAAAAAATGTATATTTAAAATAAAAACATTTTTACAGTAGTTATATTTAAAATTAAATGAAAACATAGCATAATAGACAAGAAAAAAAAGAAAACGGTTTAGATATTAAAAAATATACAATCAAAAATCTTTAAAACTCAAAATCTAACTTAGCCACCACCCATCACTTTAAACATCAGTGTTTTATTCAATATAGTCATGTGACATGGTGCTAAAATCTGTTCTACCAAATATAGTATGTGAATCTATGTTCATTTCAAATTTCTGACTTTAAACAACATCCATACCAAATTGGTTTACTCTTTATTTTTTATCATTCCTTGAAAACAGACAATGATGGCATGATCAAAAATAATCTTTGAACATAAAACAATTTCAGAAGTTCATTTATAAGTTTTCATCTGGTATCAAGCAACTTAGTGATGCATTCAAAATCAAAAGAAAATCACCAAAAGGCAGAACATACATTACCTGTCTGTTACATTTAATAAAACATGTTTAAACCACTATGTATCTATGTGTGTAAAAATATATATATATATATATATATATATACATACACATTTCACATATATATATATTTTAGGATATTACATGAAAAATGTGTCAAAATAGATTGCGATTTTGACATGTTTTTGATGTAAATATTCTAAAATAAATAGTATTGCTCTACCTTGTATTGAGCCCTCTTTTAAATTAAATGTTATGAACATTAGAATTGTACTCTATTCATTCTCATCTTACCTGGATATATATATATATAAGAAAGAGGTTGTAGTGGTTCCAATGAGAGAAAAGTATGTATATTAAAAAGAAAAGAAGAGAGGTGCCGCAAACATTTTGGTTGTAATGTGGATTTATTTAGAAAAAATATTATGCTTTGTTTTACATAATTTTACGACACATGTTTCTGGTCTAATGACCGTCTTCAGGTAAAAGCAAGATGATTTCCACATATTATTAAAATTTTTTTTTTTTTCTTTTGTTTTTCACTGTTAAATATTCTCAATATGAGACATTTTCTGTGTTAGTAATCCAAATTTTTTTTCTTATATATATATATATATATATATATATATATATATATATATATATATGTGTGTGTGTGTGTGTATGCATGCACAAATATATAGAAAATAGGAAAGAACACATTAGGTAAATAATCCAAAGTTCTTTAGTATGAAAATTTTTATTAAAAAAAAAACAGTGCTCAAAACAAAAATGTAGAATTTTGTTAATATATATATATATATATATATATATATATATATATATATATATATATATATATATATATATATATATATATATATATATATATAGTATTGTTAATGGCAGCAGATCATTATTCAAACATTTATGGTTAAATATAACAGACAACAAATGTCTATTATGTTTCATCATGAGCCGTTCTCTGCTTCATATAGTGGCCTTAGTTTCAGTAGAAAATAAAAACAAAAATTGTCCAAAATTTGGATATTTTTTATTATGCTGTTCATCGATCTAAGCTTTCATCTTATATGACCCATTGTCAGGGTGGTTATATGGACATTACAACAGAGATGTCCACCATCAATGATGACATCCTCTTATGTTTATATAGAAGTTTGCTGTGTGATGATAAGTTTGCTTGTGAAATAGCAGACGCTGGTCGTAAAATTTGTAATGTAGTTCAATGACGTCATACTTGATCACATGAAAGAAAGAAATGTTATCAACAGACCCATGTGTTTAAATGCATTTTAATATGTTGTGACTGGTTTGAAATGTAATTTTGTTGAGGGTGACTTGCTTGGTTTTAATGTAGATGGCATCCAATACCATTTTTATCATTGTGTATATACATGAGTATTGTTGTGTTATCAACTAATATCTGTCTATTATTATGTACATGGCTATGTTTTTCTAGGAAATTTTGTTTAATGGGGCAAAGATCAGAAAGGTGACAGGTAAGTCACTAAAGCTACTATACGAAGCTTAGAACCTATTAGACATTCATTGTCTTTATATTTAACAATATATGTTTGAATATATATATATATATATATATATATATATATATATATATATATATATATATATATATATATATATATGTTCTTTTATTTTATTTATTCAAACACCACACTTACCAATCGCTGATGGCTTCCAAATTTTTGAAAATACTTTTTCTAGGTCAAACACCTTAACTTATTTTTACCTTTCCCTGTTATTAGTCTTTCTTTCTTTTTTAAAAAAAATTTTGTCTGGATAAATTTAAACTGTTGTTTGTAAATTTATACCATTCATATCTCTGGTCTGATGAGACTTACTGGTCGAAACAAATCATGATTTATTACCATATTTTCAAATGATCAAAATTAAAGTTCAATTTTGATGTATGTGTATATATATATATATATATATATATATATATAATGAGAGAGAGAGAGATGCACACACATTTTATGCATTACATACTCTATATATTCTATTCAACAAATATGTATAAGGCAATATATGTGTGTGTGTATATATGCAAAACGCATGCACACACACACACATACATTACATATTCTATATCTATTCTATTTAATTAAACATCTATAAAGTAATATACATTGGGGGAATAAATATTTGTACACCATGAAATTTTTAATTAACATAATTATAACTTATGAAAAAACTTAAAATCCATACACTATTTCTACACCATTGCATAATGCTGCAATATGCAAAAAACAATTAGAAAAATTTGTCTTAAATGAAATTGTTTTCTAAAATTTTGAGGCAAAAAAAGTATTTATACAAAATATGTCTTTAATATCAAAAGGCTTAAATTACCTTTATTTACATAATTCTTTGTAAGATTTTACTAGATTCTTCCAATTATCTTATTACCTGAACAATCTAGAACATTCCGCAATTAATTTCTCATATAAGGTTATCTCAAACACAATAATTATCATCTTTGAGAAAGGCAAGAAATTATCAAATTTGCAAAAAGAATTGATCATCAAATATTGGAAGGAAGGCAAAAGCTATCAGAAAATAGCAGATATCCTGAATATACTATTACTTCTGTCACTGCTAAGTATAAAAAGGTGAAAACTGTTGAGAACAAATTGAGATCCGGTGCACCATGCAAGATTTCTAACAGATCAATGAGAAGAATTCAGTACAAAATTCAAGAAAATCCAATGACTACTCAGAGAGAAATGCAGGAAGAATTAGAATCATCAGGTATTATTGTCACAAAGTGAATAATAAGCAATGAACTTCATAAAAGTCAGAGATTGTGTTCTACAAGAGAAACTCCACTACTATTAAAGAAAGATAGGGATGCCCGGTTAAATTTGTGAGCTTAATAATAAATCTGAATCTTTTTGGGAAAAAGTTTTATGGACAGATGAAGCAAAAATTGAACTATTAGGGTGTAATTCAAAGATTCACATTTGGGGA